TTGAATTTTTAGTTTAAGATAAAAATAAATTTTATATATATATATATATATATATATATATATATATTCATGTTGGGTTGGGTTAAATATACGTTTTTACCAAATAAATAAATAAAGTTTTAGATTAGATGAAGTCTTCCTAAACCCATATTGGGTTGGATGACATGGAGGGGTAGAACACTAGGGTTAAGTATAAATATGATCTAGTCTGATCCATACCCATCCCTGAAATAAATAATTCTAACATTAACTTCTTTTAATTATGTAAAGAATCATTATTTTATACACACACGATGTAAAATTTAGTTTACATATTCTATCTATTTCAATCATAAATTCTAAATAAAAATACTAAACCTTAGATGCTACATATAACATTAAAATAAAATATATGTGTAAAAAAATTTATATTGGCAGCCCAAAAAAAGTGTAAAATAGGGCACAAATAGTTTTATTTTGGGATAGACGATATTTTCTACCATGTATGAAATTTGTCACGTCGAGGTGACGAGTTTCAATAAAAATATCTTTTTATTCAAACTTTTTTCTTCGATGCGATAAATTTTAATAAAAAAAATATATTTTATTAAAACTTGTCGTCACTCTAGGTGACGAATTTGAATAAAAATATTTTTTTATTAAAACTTATCACCTCGACGTGATGAGCTTCAGCTCCATTATAACATTTACCGTATTCTCCAAAATAAAATTCCATTTGTTTTAATAAGCTAAATAAAAAACCCTGATGCCCTAATGAAAAAAAAAGCCCTATTATTTATTCATTCAACATGGGGATCGGGCTCTTTTATTTACGGGCCTTGCAACTGGCTGAAGGCTCTTAGATTTTCTAGGCTACCACCAAGTCAATATTTTTTTTAGTAAATAAAATAATTATGTAAAATATGAAATAAATTGAGATACACAAACATGAAAATTATTATTTTTAAATTTCATTTTCATGACATATGATACAAAATAAAATGAATATATTCACAAAAAAAAAACAAAATTTGTTAACATAAAACTTATATTTATATTTTACAATACTCTCAGCACGTGAAAAACAACACAAACACAAATACAATGTAAAAAAAAAGGGGAAAATGAACATAACATGAATACACTTCAAAAAAATAAAATATATGTGATGAATTAAAAATATAAATTAAAACATATAATTTAAAGAAAATAACATAAACACAATAAAAATATATTAATATGTTAAATTATTAAAATATAAATTATTCTTATAGGTAAATAAAAATTATTCTTATATAATATTATTGAGTTATTCTTTAATATTTAAAATATAAAACATTTATTCTCGTATCATAAAAATTTAGAAATAATTATAATAAAAATCATTTAATTCAAATTAACCAAACTTTTTTAGTTTTACAAATTATAAATCGTTCTATATTTAAAATTTTCTGTTATGCACGAACCAAACGACCTTAGTGATTTAGAGATTTGTTGCTATCTCTTGAGGTCTTGCATGGGTTTGAGTGGTTATTTTCAAATGATTGAAAGTCTTTTCAAAATCATAGTTTAAACTAAATTTTATTTTGGGTAAATTATGCATTTAGTTCCTAAACTATCAATTTTGATTTGTTTTAGTACTTAAACTTTCAATTTTTTCAAAATCATACCTAACATTTAGTTTTTGTTTCATTTTAGTACCCCCGTTAAAAACATAACGTTAAGTTTTGAAAAAAATAAAAGTTTATGTGCTAACATGGACCAAAATTGATAATTTAGGTATTAAACGCGTTAAGTTTTTAACGGTGTGATACTAAAATGAAACAAAAACTAAACATTAGGTATGGTTTTGAAAAGTTTATGTGCTAAAATAGACCTAAACTGATAGGCTAGGTACTAAATGGCTAGGTACTAAATGGCTAGTTATTTTTTTCAAACATATAATAGTATAGCTTGGCCTAACCATTGAATTAACAGGGAATGTGATTAGTATATATATATATAGTTTGGGATGAAATTAAAATGTTGAAAAAGTTTGGGGGACCAATTTTGAACAAAGGATATAGTTTGGGGATGAAAATAAAATATTTAAAAGTTTAAGGACTAATTTAAAATGATAATCATAATTTAGCAATGAAATTGAAATATTTAAAAGTTTAAGGGTTAATGTAGAAAGAGGATCATAATTTAAGGATATATGATGCAATTAACTCATTGGGTAAACTACACATTTAGTACCTAAACTATTAGTTTTGGACCGTTTTAATACCTAAACTTTCAAAATTTTCAAAATTATACTTAAAGTTTAGTTTTCATTTCATTTTAGTACATGATGTTAACAACTTAGCACGTTTATTACTTAAACTATCAATTTTGGTCTATTTTAGTACCTAAATTTTTAATTTTTTTCAAAACTTAACGTTATATTTAAAAGTGATGGTACTAAAATGAAACAAAAACTAACGTTTTTAATGGAGGGTACTAAAATGAAACAAAAATTAAACTTTAAGTATGATTTTTAAAAATTAAAAGTTTAGATACTAAAACGGACTAAAACTAATAGTTTAAGTACTAAATACATAATTCTCATTAATTATTGTAACCCAATTTTGTCTTAGGGCCTGTGGCCCTGCACTTCTAACATCAAATAAAAGCTAGAATTGATAATTGAGAGAGACAAAAATCTATTAAATATTTAAATTTAAAAATTAAATTAGATAAATATTTTATTTAATTAATAATTAAATTAAAAGGACTCAAAATATTATTCTATCGATAAATGGGTCGCAGTCCCCCCCTAGCAAATAGCTCCGTTCATGTCTAACACACGTGCTTTATATCTCTTAGTAAGTACAAACTATCACGTGCTCTTATTATGCCACTTAAGACCAAATAAATCAAGTAAATTACATGTGATTTATGCCAAGCACTCTATGTGTTTGCATGTGATTACACTTGGAATTCATTTGCGTGTGCTCTTATTTTGAGCAATCGAAGCGAAGAGGTTGAAGAAAAGATATCCCGTGGGATTTCACCGGAGAAGCGATTGCTCGAGAGATTCACCGTTTTCACAAACGGTAAACGGAAAACCGACGAGGTAACCAAAATCCCAGACATGTTTTTCACTGAAACATCGATTATTTCGACATTGAAATGTTGTTGCAGTCGATGCTGTGCCACCTGCAAAAGGTGGCGGCGGAGGGATTCCAATTCGATAAGAAACCAGAAGGGTCGTGGATTATTGAAGACTTGAAAGACAAAAGCAGCTCGAGTTCTTCGCCAAGGTCAGATTCGGACAAAACAAGAGTGAAGAACATAAACACGAACAACACAACCTCATTAGCTCATTTCTTCGCCATCTGCAGCACAACATGTAAGAAATATTTCAGAGCTTTGAATCTGCTTAAACAACAGCTTACCTAAAGAACACCATTAGATTATTACAGTATCTAAATCTCAGAGATTAAAGGGGTTTTGTCTGAAATAAAATAGAGAATTTGAATTTAAAAGAGAGACAGAACAATGGTAAGTGAAGATGGTACTTGAGTATGTAAATAGATTGGTGATTGGTGGGGAGGAAGAGATTTCAATGCAACTGGGAGTTGAGGGCTTTTGAAAGATGTCTTACTAAGATATTGGAAGAAGAAGACGCCGAAGAAGGAGGGGGTTAACGAAAGTTAAATGCAAATATTAACGGAGGTGATGAGAGGTAGTGAAAACGAGTTAAAAGTTTGATGATTATGTTGTAAATTTTAAAAGTTGAGTGATTAAAATGCAAGTGTCCTAAAAGTTCGGGAGTTATTTATATACTTTATCCTAATATAATTATAATTTTATTTGTTATTATAAATTTTAATTATAACCCTATAAATATATTATTTCTAGTTATAATTATAACTTGAAAATATCAAATATTTAATTGGAATAAAGTATCAAACTCAAATATTAAATTAAACTAAAAAAACTTTGAACAAAGTATGCACTCAATTTTAAAAACCTTTCATTTTGTAATGTAAAATGACAGTACTTAAGCTATAAATTTAGCATATGAATTATTAATTTTTATTCGTTTTAATACTTAAATTTTTAATTTTTTTTAAAAATTACACCTAATATTTAGTTTTCATTTCATTTTAGTATCCCACCATTAAAAACTTAACGCGCTTAGAACATAAACTATCAGTTTTGGTTCGTTTTAGTACCTAAACTTTCAAAAAAATTTCAAAGTTTAACGTTAAATTTTGAACAGGGTACTAAAATGAAATAAAAACTAAAGTTCTTAATAGAGAGATACTAAAATGAAACGAAAACTAAATTTAATGTATGATTTTGAAAAAATGTAAAACTTTAGGTATTAAAAAAAGACTAAAACTGATAGTTTATATACTAAACAAGTAATTTAATCTAAAATATTTTATATTTCTTTTAAAATTAAAATACAATAAAAAATTAGTGTGTAACATACTATATCTAATTTAGGGTAAACTACATTATATACCATCGAACTTTAGGCGTTGTATCATTTTATACCATTAAATTTTCAATTTTGCTAATTATAGAATTGAACTTTGATTTTTGTTTCAATTATACCACTGAACCGTTAAATCGTTAACGGCACGATGACATGACAAACGATTGTCGACGTGGTTGACGACTGTCACCGTATAAACCTTACCAAAACAATTGGTTTTGATTCGACTGTTAATGATTTAACGGCTCAGTAGTATAATTGAAACGAAAACTGATATTCATTGCTATGATTGATTAAATTGAACGTTTAGTGATATAAACGATACATCTCCTAAAGTTCAGTGGTATCTAGTGTAGTTTACCCTATAATTTATTACATAAATGGCTAGATTTTAATTAAATTACAATTTAAACTTCCTTTTTCTAATGTATACTAAAATGGAAGAAACAACTCCTAAAAAAATGGAAGAAACAAATAAGAAATAGTTAATTTTTATTTTATTTTCCCGGGAGTCGATGACCTTGCTTGTTCCTCTGAAAACACGACAAAATTAATCTGATAGCCGTCGAATCCTGAAACTGAAAGATAAGGAAGACGACGAAATCCGTTTTACACCGTGACGGCCACTCCCTCGTCGCCTCGTTCTCCTCCGTCCACGTGTCCCCTGAAGCTTTCGTTCACCGATCTTCCACTTTCCCTATAAAAGAAGAATCTTATCCTCTTCCCCCTCGAAAAAAGCAAGCCCAATCTTTATTTCATTGATTATAGTGATTTTGTTGCCGTTATTCCTTTGCTGGGTCTCCTTTATTTTTCTTCGTCGTAGCTTTTATTTTCTGGGTTTTTGAGTGAGAATATTGGGAAAGATCATCATGGATCATGCAGCAGATGCACACAGGACTGATTTGATGACTATAACTCGTTTCGTCTTGAACGAACAATCCAAATATCCCGAGTCGCGTGGAGATTTCACCATCCTACTCAGTCACATCGTTCTTGGTTGCAAGTTCGTTTGCACTTCTGTTAACAAGGTCTTTCTTTTATATATTTAATTGAGTTTTCTTTGAACTTTTTTTCCGTACAAATGAATTCTGGGTTTTATTATTTTCTGTTCATTGTTATATAGGCTGGTCTGGCCAAACTCATTGGACTTGCAGGGGAGACCAATATTCAGGCAAGTAGATACTCCAATGAATGTTGTGTGGATGCAATATTTTATGTTAAGTTCGTGTGGATTTAAAAGGTTATATTAGAAATGTAACTAGTGCGAAATTATAAAATTTTAAGGGTTTGAAATTAGATCATTAATAGAAAATTTACGGAAAGTATTTGAATTATAAGGAGATTTGAAATTTTAGAGAGTGTGACCGCACAGGGTGCCCTTTTGGATCTGTTTATATATATTATTGGTGATAATATTTCATAGTTTTTGGTTTTTTAAATGTTGAATTAAGGGTGAGGAGCAAAAGAAACTGGATGTGCTTTCAAATGAAGTCTTTATCAAGGCTTTAGTGAGCAGTGGCAGAACTGTGAGTAATTTGGATGCTTTTAAGTAAACATTGGAGATGTTATGATTTTCCTTTTAACATATTTGGATGTTATATCAGCGTATCCTGGTATCTGAAGAAGATGAAGAGGCGATTTTCGTGGAGCCCTCAAAGCGTGGAAGGTGCTTTTAGTTGTTCTCTGTTCTTTTTATAATGAATTGCTCCCATTAGAGCTAAAAATGTTGATGTTTGAACCTTCTTCGCCAATAGTTGATGTGAACTCATCTTAAACATTGCAGGTACTGTGTAGTTTTTGATCCACTAGATGGCTCCTCCAACATCGACTGCGGTGTTTCGATCGGAACAGTACATTTCTTAATCCCAAAATGCCATGCCATGCTTGGTTTGATTCGATAACTTGATATTGCAGTGTTCAACTGAATTTGTCCTCTATTTCATCTAGATTTTTGGGATTTACATGGTGAAAGATGACCATGAACCAACTCTAGATGATGTGCTGCAACCTGGGAAGCAAATGGTAGCCGCAGGCTATTGCATGTATGGAAGCTCTTGCACGGTATAATGTCACTTGCGATAAAACCACAGACGTTTCTGTCTAATATTTTCTTTTTCTTGATGGAAAGGACTTGGTACTTTATGTATTATGGCCTTAAAACTTTTTTCTCGAATGACACTGTTTTGCAGCTTGTGTTGAGCACTGGGAATGGAGTTAATGGATTCACCCTCGATCCGTCTCTTGGTGAGTTCATACTAACTCACCCAGACATCAAGGTATATATTCTGTCTTGTGATTATTTGATTGATCATGTGATTACCTCTTTTAATCTACTCTACAGTTCAGTTTCTTGCACCCTTAATTTGTTTATCATGTCTTCTTTTCACAGATTCCGAAGAAAGGGAAGATCTATTCAGTTAATGAAGGAAATGCCAAGAATTGGGATTCTCCAATGGCCAAGTATGATTTCGTTTTGTTTGCTAGTTTCTTATTTTTCATTTGTTTTCCTATGTGGTTGCCTTACCCTCTCTCAAACTTCAGGTACGTCGAAAAATGCAAGTTCCCTAAGGATGGTTCCTCTTCCAAGTCTCTGAGATATATTGGAAGGTATCATTGATTCGATTGTTACCAGAGCTACCGTGCCTGCTTTATTTTCGTTTATCTCGTTGGAATATCGATTCTGGTTTAGCATGAAGTCTGTCATTGATTTATTATTTTAGCTGAAATTGAAGAATATGGACATATTTTGAAACGGGCATGTCTGTTCTGTTTCTGACCATTGAACAATCCTAACTTTTTGAACAAGTAACACACTCTTTTGTTTGAGCTCCATCTGGTCTTTGTATGGGTTTTCTGGGAGGAGGATGCATCGTTTTTTTGAAAATTCTCAAGATGCATAGATGCTCAAAAGCGATTATCTGATTTTCTCACACCTAGATATTTTTGATCGGTTTATGACTCTGGATTTGTTTCTTTTAACATGGACTTTGTTGTACGATAATGACATTGTGATGAACAGCATGGTAGCCGATGTCCATCGCACATTACTCTACGGGGGTACCTTTATGTACCCTGCTGATAAGAAGAGCCCGAACGGGAAGCTGCGGTATGTTAAAATTGCTGTTACCACTCCCATTTACTTGCAGGCTTAGTCTCTTACCAAGTTTGAGTGATTTGTGTGACCAGTGTCCTGTACGAGGTCTTCCCGATGTCGTTCTTGATCGAAAAAGCTGGAGGTCAAGCATTCACCGGCAAACAACGGGTAAATTTCTTTAAAGTTGTCGTAGAAAGCAGTGAATGGAAGAGAGTAAAATTGTGAATCTTCTGTTCATGGTGATCTGATTTTGTTAAACCTGATTAATTTTTGCAGGCACTTGACTTGGTTCCAACAAAGATACACGAAAGGTCTCCAGTATTTCTTGGCAGCTATGATGAGATTGAAGAAATTAAAGCACTGTATGCCGCTGAAGGCCAAAAGGAATAAATGTATCTCTCTTATCTTTACCGGATTCAGTTTTCAATCCTCACTTTCATAAGATTTAATCCGTTTCAAGGCTTATTCTGCAATGGGATACTGCAGTCACATGTATATATAAACTGGATGAGTATTGCCTTCTAAAATTCTGGAGAATTATTTTATAAATAAAAGGAAGATGTTTTCAAGTCCAATCTTGATTTATTTATGAGCAAAAGTTTCTTAGTTCATGTATGTGGTCCTACCAGTTGTTGAGAGCTATGGCCGATTCAGTCCTGGGTTGTGAGTAGAGGTGAGCATTTGATCTTGATATCAACGCTCACCTTTACCTCCCGAATGCTCTACCGGATTCATCATAAAAAGACATCACCGAGAGGGTTAGCTTCTCTTGTGATGGCTTCTACCATGCAATGATCGATGCAAAGGTATATTGTCAACACACCTTTTCGTCCTACTAGGATTTAAAATTAGGATTTAAACTCCTAAAAATAAGATATAATTTTGCTAGGATTTAAACTCATAAAAATAGGATAGAGTTTTATTATGATTTAAACTCCTAAAGATAAGATCCACAAGCACTATAAATAATCATTGTAACTCACTATTGTAAGATAAGATTTACAGACAATACAGAGGAAAGCACGGAAAATACGAAGGCAAAACTATTGTAAACGATTCGAAAAAGAAATAAAAGGTAACATTTTTTTTGATTCGTTCATTTCTCGCATGTGCACATTATTTTTCTTGAGATTTGGTTCGAATAATTCAAAACGTGGGTTGCGCCGACGACCAAAAATGGGTGAGGTTTTGAAGTTTCGAACCTAGATCTACCCGAGGCGTGTTCATTTTTTATCCCCCTAATGCGCAATATCGACGTTAATTGTCTTTCAAATTTGACCCTAATTTTTATTTTTCTTTATATTAGTCCTTTTATTTATTGTATAGATATTTTTATTTATTTATTATTTACATTATTGTCATTATATAAATATATATACGTATATTTTTTTAAATGATTTTCAATTGATTTTTTTACACTATATATTATTATTATATATACATATATATTTTTATTTATATTCATTGGTTTTTTTAATACTATATTTATTATTATATATATATATATATATATATATATATATATACTTTTTTTAAATATTTTACTTATAAGCGTATTATTACTATATATATATTGTAATTATCTTTATTTAGTTTTTTTTACTTTATCATTATACGTATATATGTATGTTTTTAATAGTTTATTAATAAGCCAATTATCATATATGTATTTTTATATTTGGTTTATATATTTATTTATTTTTGTTTTTGATTTTTTGATTTTTTTATATTATATTATATTTTCATATTACTATCATTATTGTTATGATTATTATTTTTCTATTTACTCATTTATATATATATATATATATATATATATATTTTAATATTTCATTTATTTATTTATTTATTTTTTATTTTATTTTATTTATTTACTTATTTTTATTCTTCATTTTTTTCATTTATTCATTTTTCCCTCTAACACATCTTATGACTTTTTAAGGGTATTTTCGTCAATTAATCAGAGGTAAGTAATTCATGATCAAATTTTACCTTTTAATTTAAAATTATAATTTTCTTAATTAAGACAACTGGAAATTACGTAGTACCGAAAGGGCGGTTCAAGGGTGCTAATCCTTCCTTGACCGTAACCGACTCCTGAGCCCGACATATTTCTGGTAAGACGCAGATCATGTAAGAAATAGGGTATCTGATCAACCCATTTGTTTAAATAAATGATCGGTGGCGACTCCAATCCACATTTTTCAAGTCAAAACCCAATTCTGGGGCCCAACCGAAAGACGGTTACGACAACTTGGCGACTCTGCTGGGGACACATGTAAGTGAGTCAGGCTAAGGTAATTTCCAATTGTCTTTTTAATGAAAAGGGTAAGTTTAAATTTTAAGGTAACATTTCGATCCTTATTACTTACTTTTGATTATATTTTCGAGTAAATAGTTGTACTTACCGTTTTTAATGATTTCAGCCCTTAAAGTTTTTTCATCCAAAGGCTCTATATCCAAGTTCCGAACCCGTTTTAAGTGGGGGTGAAAGCGTCGCCTTCGTGTGAATTTATTCATCGTATGAGCCTAGCAAGTAACCTTCGGGATTCATATACCTTATGCCTTCGTGTGAATTTATTCTCCGTATGGGCATAAGGGAATGTTTCCTCTCGAGTTTAACTTAGTTCACACAAGCCTGTGATGGGGTTAGGACTAAGGGTCTGGTAAGCCCAAGGGGGCACCGGCAAGGAGAACTCGAGTACCTTTTTTTAGAACCTAAACCCGGAGACTATAAGGAGTTAGGGCCCACCCCAAAAACTCATTTTAAACCCTAGGATACCGAAATTATTTTCTGCTTTACTTTCTGTTCAAAACATGTGAACTAGAAATTTATGCGGTTAAGACTTGTTCAAAATCAACTTGCGGGATAGAGATCATGTCCGGGTAGGAATAATAAGCATGTGGGGTAGATATCATGTGGGGTAGGACTTTTATTTTCATGATTGCTTTGATTATTATTTTTACCTTACTAACTCTTTTCATTTTTTTCCTCTCTTTTATTTTATTTCCATCATCTGCATCATTTAAAAGAGGTGTTGATCCACCAAAAAACATGTTCGTTAACCATAAATAATCTGCATTAATGGACAAAGGTGTTGTAATACAAGAGATTAAAAACCCCGAGGTACGACTATGGTCCGAGAAGGCTCAGAAAGAAAAGGGAGACAATCTTCAAGGAAGTTATGTGTCAGAGCTTGTTAGCTATGCCTCTATCAGCTTAAAACAGAACAATGTACAAGAACTTCGAGACATCTGGGATAGTTGGAAGAATGATCGAAAACAGAAGTTCAGTAAGCGGTATAGTGACATTGCACTTTTACTTCATGTTAAGACCGGTGAGCCCTTAATCAGAGCCTTGGTTCAATTCTGGAACCCGGGATACAGTTGCTTCACTTTTAACCAAGAGGACATGGTACCTACCATCGAGGAGTATACTACACTATTGCACTGTGAAAACATTAAACTGGAGCGAGGCTACATCAAACACATCAAGAGTCAGCCTTTCAAGAACAGACTGGCTAAGATTACAGGAGTTGATGAAAAGTGGGTGACTGACCGACTCCGAAACAAAGGTAACCGGTAAGGAATTCAGTGGATCCACATAAGGAAACTAGTGAATGATCACCCTGATGAATGGAAGACTATAGACCTTTTTTGCACTTGATCATCTTTCTGAAGATTTTGGGATGCATTGACGCAGCCGTGGTGGAACTATTTGAGCAACTTCCGAAACGAGTCAACCCAACACCAACCATCTTAGCCGAGACCTTTCGGTCTCTCAACCATTGCCGAAGAGCTGGCGGAGGTAGATTTATTGGATATGTTCAGTTCCTTCAAGTCTGGATTCACAACCACTTTTGGAAGACTAATTAGGTTGCCTACCGCCGATTTAGCACTACGTATTCACCTTTGAGAGAGTTCATCACCATGAAATGGCATGAAGGAACTTCAAAAGAGAAGTGGATGAAAGTCTTCACTCATCTATCAAGACCGATTTATTACTTGGAGAGCCCCCTAGTTGTTTCTCAGTGACGTTCTTTTCCACAATGTGGGGACTCTGACCTTACCTGAACTTTGGGATGCAGTTGGGTATGCTCCATTGTTAGCAGTTAGACATTATGGGGCACGTCAGTTTGTCCCAGTAACATGCGGACTAGCTAAATCAGAGTTTGAGTATCATGGTGACAACTATAAGAAGATGATCAAAGAAGCAGTCGATTCATGGAAGAAAGTGTTCCGGATGGATGTGGTAGTTGCCAGAAACATGCTTGCTCCGGACTATGTGGAGTGGCGAAGATTGAGGAAAAATGACAATATTTCAGTGCCAGACTGTAAGGATACCCGGACCATGGAGGAACATCTCAGGCCCGTCCCTTCTGGACTTGAGATAGCCAAAACAGAGTTTGAAGCTGTGAACAATGAGCTGGGGGAGAGGATAAAGGAACTTGAGGCTGAGCGCTATCAGTGGAATCTAGATGCCGACTCTCAGAAAGATCGAGCAGACAAACTAGAAAGAGAACAAAAAAGACTCCGTTTAGAGCTCGAAGACTTGAGAAAGGGGTATCAAGATAAAGTCAAGAATAACTCCAAGTTGAAAGTGGCTTCTAAATACTTGAATGAGAGAGCTTGGAAGGAACATATGAAGACTGCCCAGAGGCACTTAGCAGGCAGTCAGCATCAAAACCAATGCTTGAGAATCCGGATGGCTGATATGGAGAAACAACATGAGAGAGATGGCAAAACAATAGCTTCAAAAAGCAAGCGAGTGAGCTTCAGATAGTGCCCTTCGACGGGGGTTTGCAGTGGCGTTTTCGCTGGGAGCAAGCACAACAAAGGGTGAAAGCCAGAGACGCAGTCATCCGAGATTTCCTGGATCAAGTACAGAAGGCAGCTCGCTATCTACGCGGCCTGGCAAGGGAAGCTGGAGTGGTCTAACAAGGAATACAACCAGTGACAGATGAAAACAGAAGACTTGTCAACCTGCTGGAAGCTGTTCGGGGTCTAGAGGATTTAGTCCGAATGTACCTTTGATTGTTTTTATGTCTCTTACAAGATAAAACATTTTTGTCGAAATAAGGATTATTTATAATAATGGGCACTTTTCTGGATCAATGCCTTAAACATTTCATGCATTTTTTTCATTTTGCGTTGTGCATCTACATTTCATTTTTAAGCATTTTCATAAACATGAAATTTCTTCATGGAGGATTCGATGAAGTGGTTTTAACCACATGACACCACATGGAAGCAAGATTGTAACATCAAAAGAAAAAACTAAAAACAATACAGTGGGAGCCTGATCAGCTGATTGTAGGACAAAGCCTGCCAGGATGATCTAAGAAAAGAATCCCCATATCCTAAGGGCTACGATGTTGAAGCTGTTAGCTGTTACCACATAAGAAGCCCCAAACATTCCTCTGAAAACTGTAAGGCGCTTGCCGAAGAAGGGGGCATGG